ACTGCAATACTTGGGACACATTACAAGACGCGAAAGATATAAACTGCTTCGTATAATTATGCAAGGAAAAATAGCAGGAAAAAGGTCCATAGGAAGAAGACGAAACTCCTGGCTAAAGAATCTACGGGGATGGTATAGCTGAAACAACAACGAATTGTTTCGGTCAGCAGTTCGAAAATACGTATAGCTCTGATGATCGCCAATCTTCGTAACGAAGATGGCACTTGAAGAAGATATCTTTATTTTGCACGTGTGATAATTCTTAGAACGTTAGGTTGAATATCGAGCGATTTATAATCTGTGTACTGTTTAATTCATTATACAGTTATAGAGAATTTAAAGCGAAAAAGGGGCGGTTTAAAAAGCAAACTCATAATATTTTCGAAATTTATATTAGCGTTAAATGATAAAATATCTAGCGGGGTTCAAGGGCAAATAAAAAATACCGTTCAATTTGAATTATTAGAGGGTTAATATACGGAGCGCGAAAAATTCTATAACAAATATTATTCACAATTAGCGGTAGCGCGAAAGATCATTCGTGATAATCAACAGGTAGCGCCTATAGAGGGCGATAAAGCTAGTGAGCGCCCTAAGATTTCATATACAGGGTATATGACCCTATACGGTATATGGGTTAAACCTATCGAGTTACCAAAGTTTGATGGTATTTATAATAATTGGTTAGATGACAGATTAACAGAAATGATATCTTAGACAATATAAGGCGTTTTTATTACTTACGAAGTTTATTACAGGGCAGTGCAGCCCAGGTAATACGAACATTAGAGTTTACCTCGGAAAACTATGCAGTTGCGTGGATATCGTATCAGAAAAAGGTACGATAATAAGAGATTATTATTTTACAATCATATTAATGCATTATTTAATATAGAGCCAATACATATAGAGTCATCTAATAGATTGCAGCAATTAGTTGACTTTTTTCGAAGCATTTATACGAGTTAAATCAGTTAGAGCTACCCACGGATTCATGGAACATACTCCTTATCCATATCATTTCTTGTAAGTTCGATACATCGACTTTATGCGCGTGGGATCATAGCAAAACACATAATGAAATTCCTAGCTTTGAGGATTTCAAAACGTTTTAAAATCAAGGGCGAAACTCTTAGAGTCTCTTGAGGTAAATCAAACTGAAAAGCAAAATATAAGAAATATTTCTCAGGCGGGCGCATATTCACAAACATGGATACAGGGAACTTTTAACAAAGCAGATAATACACAGTGTTGCCCTATTTGCAAAAGGGAACATACTATTTATCAATGCGGTGAATTTTTAAAACTTTCATCTAGGGACAGGTTTGATAAAGTAAGAAAGGTCAATCTTTGCACGAATTGTCTTAAACCTGGACTTTTCTATAAGCGGTGTAAGTCAACATGCAAAAAATGCGTTTCAAAACACCCTACGTTATTTCATCCAGATAGGTCAAGCCAGCAGAACACAGCTTCAGTTCACCAATCGGTAGAAAACTCGAGCGATATACAATCTGTAGATAATATACAAGGTAGTTTAAATATTTTAAGTATTTTAAAAGTAATAATGTACTTTGTGCCCGCGCGGGCATAAAGTGTACTTTATGGCCCGCACGGGCGTAGCAATACAAAGAAAAAGATAACTTATTAGACACATCTTTATTTAACAACATTTCAAAAATCCACTAGGAAACTAAGTTCCTGTAGCTGGCTGTATACCATATATCACAAAAAATTTATTTCAACTCCTTTATAAAAGGTATGTAATAAAATGCCCAAAAGGGCTATCACAAATATATTACAAAACGTTTTCGGATTGTTAAATCCATCATCAGTGTAAACGAGGTATACATGCTATGAGCCACCAAAATATATGGGTCATTTCCAACATTTCACAACATTTAGAATTCACATAAAACTGGCAATTCTGAAACGATCCGCTTTTTTTTAAATTTGGTTAGGGATCACAAAAATATCTTGCATTTTCACGGTTTTAGTTTGACACGTTTGACAGCATTTCCGTAGAGTAGGAACATAACACGTACGATAGAATGTCTACTAGTAAATATATTGTCAAAATGAAATCGAATTTAAACGAACATAAACTGTTCAAATGTACAACGTTTCTAAGTCAACAAATACGAGAAAGAAATAAAATCGTAAAGGAAAATTAATGGTGTGGTAGATGCCTACTACACAAAATGGAAGTACCATCTTATTCCTCTTATAGATGTGCAGAATGTGGTGGGCAGCACCATTCATTACTACACATGTCAGAAGGTCAGTATGATAACAGAAGGAATTCTGAAAACAGAAGGCCACAAGAGAGACCCAATTCTAGTGGGACCAGAGGTGACAACAGTTAAGACGGATCGTCAAGGAGACAAGAGAATACCGTGAGCTGTTTAAGTCATCAGAATGAAGAAATGGTACTTGCAACGGCATTAGTACGAGTAAAAGACTCAAAAGGAAGCTCACAATTGATTAGAGCATTGATTGACCAAGGGTCGTAGTCATCATTCATTACGGAATTGACAATGAAGGCCAAAGAACGTCGAAATGGAGCGTAACATTAAACTTAGAGGCGCATTTTAAAAATTAATTTGAAACGAAGGACCGAAGCAATTGTACTACAAAAATAACAAAAAATCTACTGGAGAAGGAGATACAAATGAAAGAAAGGAACCATAGGAACTTAGTCCTGGCGGATTCAAATTTTAATGAAACAGGTTCAATAGATATTATATTAGGAGCCAAAGAATATAGTTTGATATTACTGGACGGAGTAGAACGAACAAAGAATGGTTTGCTGGCCCAAAATACAAAATGGGGTTGGATGATGTCAGGGATAGCACAGCAAGAGAATATCCCTAATATACAAGTACTCAGCATGATATTTAGACGACAGATGGATGAAGCAATAAAAAAATGAGTTAGAAGAAGTAGATCAAAGCAATACTCTTTCAGTATAAGAAAATAAGTATTAAGGATATTATAAAAGAACAGTAAAAAGGGATATCGAAGGAGGATTTGAAGTTAAAATACCCTTCAATTCTAATACAAGCCTATTTGGGGGACTCAGAACAGCAAGCATGTGAGAGACTGCTGCAATTAGAAAAGAAATTTCAAAGAGACACAAACCTAGAAAAAGAAGAGGTGGTGTTGTGCGCTCGCTGTTGTCCCAAGGAATCTTCTTGCAGTAGATTACAAGAACTTACACTAATTTTAAGTGACGTATGAAAATAAAGAAAGGTAGTCAGATATATCCGAAACTCCAAGAGAGCCAGAAAACAAAGGCATCAAGGTTTTTGCATTCAACCACATCCAGCGCCTTGAAGACATACGGTATTACAACCAAATTTAGATAAAACTTTAGAGAAAGCACTTCCAAGATCAGTTTCACTTAATGAGCTTAGATTTGAATTGGATAGTTTAGCTGAAACATAAATTCGAAATATTCAAGTTAGGTAGCACTGCTCGGGTAAGACAATAATTCAAAAACCGAGTAAGCTAGTGTTATGAGTATTGTTATATTATTATTATTTTATATTTTTTATGTCTTTAGATATTTTCTATTGGTTGTCTGTTTCTTTTATATAGTGGCCAATATGTTCAATCACAAATTAATCCCTTAATTTGTAATTTCACATTATTCTTAACTTCTTAACCTTTTATAGTGTCACTGTGTATATTTGAAACATTGTAAAACTATATCGAGCAATATTTTGATAATTAAAGTCCATTCACCTGTTAATAAATTGTCGAATAATATATTTTTCTAATTGAACTTCCTAAGTGTTGCAATTACGGCCTAGATTAAATTGTATTGTAAGCTCATAGTTCAAAGTTTGTTAATATGATAGAAACATTAACCTCTGTGCTGATGTATACATTATTTGTGAGATTATAAATAGGGGATTTGAGCTCGTTTGGGTTGCAGTCTATAATAGATAGTTACCTAACCAACATCATATAGTGTAATTAGTAGTAGCTGTCAATAAAACCAACATTTTTACTCTACAACTTCAACATTTTATTGTATTTATCATTGTTGATCGCGAAAAAGCGGACAAAGGAGCATTATAAAACGATTCGATCAATATAACTACGTTCGAATCTGTTCATTGGTTCTTGTTGGAGATGTGTTTAGCTGAATTAAGAATATTGTTTCTGACACAGATATGAAGTAAGTGATCCAGTTAATACTTTAATATTTAGAATTAGGTCCACTCCATTTATATGTTAGTTTTTAAAATTTCCTGGAAATACAGTTTATGACCTCTATTTTTGCTATATTGGCTGATAAAAATAAGATTGTTGTGTTATGTGTCAAAGAGTAAGTTTGGTCCAGTGGTGTTTTATTAAATTAAATATTAATAACTACATCGTATTAGCATAGAACATTAGGGAGATCATTAAAATATTACGTTTTCTATATGGAAATATTTAATACGGCTGTTATAGAAACTAATTCCTAAATATGGTTGATCCAAAAATTACAGGACAAGATACCATCAATACCGCAAGAGATTAGGCATAAACAAAATCCTAACTAAAAATTTTACGAAAGAAAGATTTTAAGATGAGTCTAGTTTAAAGCGCTCATCCCCGTCACTGAAAGTAAACGGGTTTCTGGAAATTTCTCATGCTCAAGTAATTGCTTAAACTTCCAATTAATTATAAGACAATGTAATCAATCCCACGCAGTGCTCTAAAAAACGATTTATTTTTAAGTTGTTTACTTTGAATCTATATATATACAGAGTGGACCAAAAGTCTGAAAACGCCTAAAAGGTCCGAATTGTACAAAAACCAGGATACACATATTCTGCAATATGAAGATTTAAAATCTAATGCTTACGATGTTGCCATATTTTTTTGATATCATTTCCGTTCACCTCTTCCAGCGATAATCAAACTCAAATCTCTAATACAAAAAATAATGATGTTGCAGCTCCAAGCAGCATTTGCAGCTGTATATTTAAAACTGAAATTATTGTTACCTTAAATACTGTTTCCGTATCCCATGGTAGGATAGAAACCAAATCTATTACCTCACAGGATACTTTCAACTTTTCTTTGGCTAACTGAGCTACTTCTTTTAGTACATGGACCTGCGTTCCCCATCCTATTAAGGTAACATCGTTACCTAAAATTAATGAATGTAGTATTAGACAGAACGACAATTTTTTCTACAATCTCTTAATAAAAAACTTGTTAAAAAAAGGTAATACTATCAAAATAGAAACAAACTGAAAATCAGTTTAAATATGAAAAAATATGAAAATCAGTTTAAATCACTAAAATCGCCACTACCTAACGTATAATTTATAAATTCATTGCCTCCTTCTTTTGATTATTCATTCAGGCAATTGAACTTTCCTCTAGAAGACCTCTAGCAAAATTATGGGCTGTTGATAAGGATATGTAGGACGGTTTTACTTCATTCCTCATACCTTCTATACTGTCGATTATTCTGTAATCCCATTTTGCATATGTGATAACTAAAACGTTCCAGTCCGTTGATACACTATACAAGAACTCTGGAATTTCTTGTTGTGCTACTGGTCAACATTTTCTTTCAACTGTACAGTACTAAAAATGCTTTTGGTCTTCCTATAGTTAACAAGGAGCACCTTTCGTCCAATTTAATACAGTAATATGACAGCTATCCTTATATGTCTATGTCTATATTGTTAATTACCTACAATTTTCCACCGCTTGATTTAGTTTCTTGATGGTGGTAAGCTATAGCTATGAATTCTAAAGTCCCATTATCAAATTCCGCGTATATGAATTCTAGTTCGTACTCATAAAATTCCTATAACACGTGACCGTGTTCAACCAAACATCCAAAGTCTGAACACACGTCAGTTTAAAGAAAAAGAAGTCACATTTTAACTGTTAAAAAAAAAGATAATTATATAATGAATATGCTTATTGGAACCATCAAGAAGAGAAAGCTGGAGTACTTCGGACATGTAATGAGAGGTCCCAAATAAAGGTTACTACAATATATTATGCAAGAGAAAATAGCAGGAAAACGTAGTCCAGCACAAAGATTGAATTCATGGTTAAAGAACTTCCTGCATTGGTATGGTTTTGACATAAATATGCTATTTATGGTGGCAGTGAATAAAATTAGGATAGCTATTATGATAACCAACGTTCTGAAAGAAGATGGTGCATAAAGAAGAAGAATATGCTTATCAATATTTCATTGATTCATACAAAAAAAATGTATACTCAATGCCATACTTAAATAATATTTTTCACAATATATTCGATTATTCTTTCTTGTGGTTTTTCTTACCTTCCACTAAAATATCAGCTTTTCCTATAGGTAATTGATAATCATCAACAGGTACTTCCTCTACAGCTTGTCTATATAAAATTTTTGGTTCAAATACTAAACATGGATCTGGATCCCTAATACAACTAAGCAGGAGTCCTTTGGCTTTTATTGGTCCTCTAGGTATTACTACCTAAAAAAGAATAATTATTAAAATACATTTCGTAAGGCTAAATTATAAGAAATATAAAGTATAAAGCAAGATATCGCATTTTGCCTAACCTAACTTAACCTAAACATTGAAGGTTTGGACAAACCAAACCAAGAATATGCTTAATACATAACAAGTACAGAAAAACAAACAGTAAGATTGTAGGACCTCATTATTAGAAGTAATGCTGTATAATGCTAACGGAGTAAATGAGAAAAATACATGTGAAGATCAAACCATTTCAAACGCATTTTGCAAAGATTAAAAGAAATTTATTTTTCTCTTCATTTAAAACTATGATCTGACTTATGAATAGAAAAATCATGATCTATTTAAAACATGAAACATGTTTTCTTGTGATTAAGATTGTTAGCTATCACTCCGCCTTTTGGAAAGTCTTCCTTATGGTCGACGACTAGTAGGTTTATCTTTAAGTACTACTCGCACCATTACATTTATACCCAACATTTTCAGTCTAGTGTCTAACAGATACACATCTGAAATGGATAGACACTACAAGAAGAAGACAATCAGTATTACAGAGAAAGGAGAAAATAGATGGAGATACCTACAGTCGAGGAGAGTTAGAATAGGTGGGTGAAATCGAAAAATACGAGTGGTGTCTTGTGTGATGAAAAATTGTCAACGAAATTGAAAGTAAAATTCTATAAAACGGACATAAACCAGCTATATGATGTACGAAACTGAATGTTTGACATTAAAAAAAAAAAGAACAACAAATAATGCACGTAGCGAAAATGAGAAAGTTTAGTCGATAAGAGAAATGACAAAAATGGATTAAATTAATAATAAATATATTGGTGGAAGCATATGGATGACACCAATTGATGCAAAAATTAAAGTTAAGAGTTCCTGAAAGGAATAAAACCAAAGAAGACCTGGTGGGAAATGCTTAAGCAGAACATTTATGTAAATGGAGTCGATGTTACAATGATCCTAAGATAGACCTTTATGAAAAACAAATTAAGGAAGCTGATCTCAATAAAGAGAAAAGAAAATCGAATGAAGATGATGATTTATACAGAAAGGTGATGAAATTTATACAGAAATGGGTAAAATGGGGTACAAAAAAATAAATAAAAAACAGGTGGAATAATATTTAAAGACAATTTTAAAAAATATAAAAGTAAAAGGTTGAAATAACGATGCTCAGAATAAACGAAAATGAGAAAATAAATAAAGACATATTGCGAAGAGGTCTTATAGGGTAGTAGTACAATGAGTAGTGAAAATAGAGAAGAATAAAATACTATTTTATTCTTCTCTATTCTTATACAAACCTTTTTGTCAAGTGTTGTTGTGTTAAATAAATAAAGTATTAGAAGAACGTCTATAAAAGAGATGCCTATAATAGATCTCTAAATCGAATAGTGATGGCAAATTGTTGTTGTGTTAAGTATTTTTTCTCTTTTGTTAATTTGGGAAAGTGTAAATGCAATATGTTTAATGATTAAATAACTTATACAATCTGTGATTAATTAGAAAAACATGGTGATCTTAGAATGGGATTTCTCACTGCAAAAAAGTGATGGATACATATATGGAGAAAATCGAATAAATACCATACAGCAATATTATATTTATATGACTTTTTAACTACAATGAGACAGCTTTTAATTGTATCGAATAGGCGGTTTGATATTTTATTTCATTTTTAATATTATTAAATCAAAAAGTAATTAAAATGTAAACACACCTTCAAACCTGGTGTGTGGGCAAAATAGGCTTCTGGACTCTGGGAATGATATAAAGCCCCGTGACCAACAGCTCCACATGGTGCTCTTACTGTAAGTTTACCACAGTCGAATGTTCCACCTGATCTATATCGGTATTTTGCTGCTTCATTTACTAGCTAAAAATAGATTAACTGAAATTAAATAGAAAAAAAAATATTATCTACATACAAAACTAATTAATAAGGATACATCTTAACAACAAGAATTCACTTCTTTGTGTATATATTTTACAGTTGTCTCCTAAGATTTCTAACTGATATTTTTATTTATAACTTAGTTTGTTAATAAAAATGACCTTTTTTTCAAAAATAAATTTATTCGTTATTATTTTTGTCCAAAAAGTGCAAAGATAATATTATGTTTTAATTCCTTATCTTCTTGTATAAACATCTACCTATACGAGCACTACTATGTCGAAAGAGTTGCCTAACTCTAAGTGTCAGTATCTAAATTAATAAGATGGGGTAATATCCTTGATTGAAATAGTGATATTGAATAAAAACTTTTTGTTTAAATTAAAGAGAATATCAATCCTAGTGATTAAATACCAGTGGGTTTGTCATAAAACCTGTTAGTTCAATCACAAGTATAATTTTAGTTGCGTAAAACCAAAGAATGATAAATTTCTCTTACTGAGTAGAGTTGGATGTTTAAGAATTAAAAGGAGGTTCATTGTCTGAGGCTAATTCGACGGGAAGATATCTCTTAATATTGATATAGTCTCTGATGCATCTGTGCCATTTAGCATTAATTTGACATAGGTATCTACCTTACCATTTTGATTTGTAATAAATTAAAATCAAAAATGTGTATTTAAATTTAAAGAAGAAATCTATATATACTCTGTAAAAGTTATATGGTGCTGATGGCCACGGATATAATTCCTTGTTTAAATTTGTGAAATTTTGACGTTGTTGACAGACATTACAACACATTATAGCGTAACATTATTTTAGTACGAACAATATCATTGTGTTGTTCATGATTTAAGTGTAATACATTATCTTGTAATTTTTTTGGAATAACTACTCTATTTCCTATAGGATGCAATTTTGTTCCACTGAAAACGCGTTTCTACGTTTAAAGTATGGTTTCAAGGAATTATCACTCACTTCCCTGGGCCAAACCATTGATTATAAACCACTACCAAGTAGTGGTTTATAATCAATGGCCAAATCGACAAAATAAAATCTTTTACTTTTAATAACAACAAATCCTTGTTTGTTGTTTCGCAATATGACAAGGATTTAAAGGTATGTGATCTACCAAGCTAAAAGAATACAAAAAATCTGTAAGTTCTATTGACCATGCTATCCCATAAGCTCTTTCAAAGGAAAATATCATCTTGTTTTAGGAGTTTACGTTTTATTGTGACTGACTGTATACCTACCACATACAAGTCTGTCTCTGAGAGATTCTTTTAAAAATTCACCAAATTTACAATATTGAGCCACACTTTTTAGTTTTGTCACAAAACTTTTAATATCCTCCTGCTTAATATCTTGATTTGTGTTGTAAAATTTATACCTTTCAGGTACTACTTTTGAACTAACCCTTTTGAACTATAATGTTCAGCTAGAAGTCTTTTTAACTCCTCAAATGTTTTTGAACTTGGTAGTTCTGGTTCTAAATTCTCCACTAATTAGAGTAATAAATAATGGAACTTTCTTGTCTTCTTTCACTACATTATATAAAAACAACTGCTCAAATCTCTCTACATAAGACGTGACATAACTTTTAGCAGGATCGAATTGTTCAAGGGCCCCAATTAACGACATTTTTTGAGTTTCGACATTTACGTGAATTCTTTCTGTGGCTCGTTCCCAAATACGTTGTGTATTTAATGAAGCATAGACCACGAAGTAGCAAAACGTAACTATTTATTTACTTATCTACTGTTTCGATGCAGGATTAATATATAACAATGAGAAGGTTATCTCTGCAAATATAATGTAACATACCATATAGAAGAGTAATGTATACAACATAGATGAGCTAAATTAAGGGAAATAGTAATAAATAGATTAAATGAATATGCTAATGCCATGTTTTTCCATAAATCAATACTAATTTTGCAACATATCAAATAAAAAAATGATAGTATATGGAGAGCCTAAGCCAAGAAAGAATTTAAAGTTGTATTTTAAGAATGTTTTAAACTGATGCCTGTGAATCAACACACCACATATTTTTGGGAAAGCAACGAATAAAATAAATATATTGTTGCTTAATCTCCACTGTTTATCAAAAGACCACGAACTAAAGAAGAATATAAGTATGTAATACAAATTTCTCTCACACATTATAAGAATAATAATGCAGTTTCAAACTACAACAATGTTGATATCAAAGTATTCATACCTGATCAAAGGCGGGAAATATATAATCGGCAAACTGTATCTCGGCTATTGCAGTCGATCCCATTGCCGCAGCGCCTATAGCAAACCCTGCTATTCCTTGCTCGCAAAGCGGGGTATTAAAAACTCTATCCTTTCCGTATTTATCCCGTAGTCCCATTGTACACCTAAAGACACCTCCGAATCCAATATCTTCTCCAAATATAAGAGCAGAGTCATCAGTCTTTAGGGCAGTGTCTAGTGCGTTGTTAATAGCTTGGAACATATTCATTTTCGTAGTTTCGCCTAAAAAAATTTAAACAAATTCTAAAATAATGTATAAAGCAACATAGGTTGAGCAATGTTTAGGAAGGAAATTAAAAAAACAGAAAATATGGAAATATAAAAGATCGCAAAGTTTAGAAATTTCTCTAGTTTCTATCATTCTATCTCTCTCTTTCAGCGGTCAATCCTACAAACAAAATGATTTAACTATTAATAACTAAATTATAGATACCAAAGTTTATAAACTGCAGTGGACGATATAAGCATGCAAGATACAGAAAACTGACAAAAGTTGTACGTGCAGAACTTGAAATAACTTAAAAATAACACGTATTTTTCTAGCACTAATAATTACTACTGATACTAAGACGAATTATAACACATATTTCGTTGTTCTCCTTTTATCCTTTTATTTTCATGTTTTCAAATTGCTATTAATTCGTGCTTTAATATCTCTACACTGATGTAATTATTTATTTATTTATTCCACAATAAACATATTTTACAGAATAAAATGTAATTACAAGTAGATATTTTGACATTAGATATACCTACATGTTAAGATAAAGTGATCGAAGCGGATAAAAAGCTAGATTTAATTGCTTTGATGTTAGTGTTGCCCAAAATCGGTCTTGATCTTGCAGTCTTGGTCTTGTTCTCTTGCGTTTTCGCAAGACCTCCATAGATCGTGGCTTAAAACCTCCTAGTAACGTTTAATAAATGGCAATAGACGAATAGATAACTACAAGACTTCAAAGACTCTTGCTGCAAGACCAAGACCAAGACCGGCAGTGCAATACCAAGACCAAGACCAGGTGAATTGGCGCAAGACCAAGACCAAGACCAAGACTATCTAAGTCTGGTCTTGTTCTTGCATTTGGGCAACACTATTTGATGTTGGTGTTGAATTGCTGTGTTGAATTCGCTATTTTTTAGTATTATATTGCACTGCATCATCATGTTATTTATGGGCGAGCAGTCTGTCTCACAAATAAAAAAAACATCCCTCTATGACTTAAGCTTAAGTTAATCTTAGGTACCAAGAACTTTATATAGTTGATCAAGAATAAGTCTTTACATTTTAAGTTATTCATAATATAATATACAAGCAGCATTGCTTGTATTTTCCGTTTCTGTTCCAGTGTTACAAATTGGAAAGTTTCAAGCATACTCCGGTTAGACACCACGTATGGATAAGAATTATATTTTCTAACATATAGATGTCTTAAAAATTTTTTTTTGTACCTTTTCAATTAAATCTATATTTACTTCTGCATCGGGTGCCCAAACTACAGAAACATACTCAAGATGTGGTCTTACCAAGGAATTATATTGTTTAATTATGCTAGATATCCTCTTAAAATGTTTGGTGTTTCTTATTATAAATCCTAACATCCTAAAGGCTCTATTAGTAACAATGTAATAGTGATCATTGAAGTGCAAGCTTTGTTGAAAACTCATACCAAGATCATTACACACGGATTTTCTGGGCAATTCTCTATTATTGATATAATAAACAATTTTAATAAAGTTCCTGTTACGTGTGAAGATCATCACTGAACACTTGTCAACATTTAGATCCATTCTATTTATCTGAAACCAATTAGATACCACATTCAAATCTAGTTGTAATAGTTGACAGTCACATTGATCTTCTACAAATCTAAACATCTTAAAATCATCTGCAATCATTAAACAAGTGGAAAATTTGAGACAACTAGAAACATCCTTTATAAAGCAAGCAAATAAGAGTGGTCCCAGGTTGCTGCCCTGAGGAACTCCAGAAGTTACGGAATATTCCTCTGAAAAAATTACCTACTCTAACTTGCTGACGTCTATGGTAGGAATTCAAAAATGTTAATGCATTAATTGAGAGACCAAAGGTGCCCAGTTTTTCTAGTAATAAACCATGATCAACCCTATCAAATGCGTTTGCACAATCGGTGAAGATTACATCCATTTGCTTCTTAGTATTTATGGCATCTGCAGCAGATTGTGGGAAAATACATAAATTTGTAAGTGTTAATCTATCTAGTAGAAATCCATGTTGATATTGATTAAAAGATTTGATAAAATGTTGTAATAAGTTGTTATATAAAATAGATTTAAATATTTTTGCCAAAGAATTTAAAATACTAATTGGTCTATAATTGTTTACATCATTAATATTACCAGATTTAAAAATAGGAACTGTAATGGTATATTTTATAATATATTATAAAATAATACTGTAAATCCAATTTCCGCTTAACCTATTTTATATTTATTTATATTTAACATGCATATTTTCATCTTTTTGGGTTTTTCTCTTTTTTGATATAGACAGTGAAATCTCATCGATCAAAAATCTTTGTTTTGTGTTTTTACCTTTGTAGGTATCTTCTATTTGAACATGTAAGATCTCATCACAGCCCCCCATAAAATTATTAGAGCCTCCGAGATATAGCAGACTGATCACCGGCATTCTTTGGAGACTCGTAAACTCATCACCAGCATTTTTGCCCTAAGGCGATTGTTTCTAACGTGGAAGATTGCCTGTTACCTGTTACACTTCTTGTTTAAGTGGTAATATTTTAAATTCAGAATTTATTTTAAATAAATTGCTTTAAAATTTCACTAATATATTGAACTTTTTAATGAAAATGTTTATGAGCATCTGCCATTTCCAGTTATATTGAAAATATCCCCTAACTTCGTTTTTTTTTGGCATTCCAACTTATAATATTCTTTAAAATTATAAAACCTTAACCTTTTGCACGAATTTTATGGTCTTTAACTACTACGGCTGCAGATAGGCCCCGTTTAGGCGATGCGCCTCTTCAAGGTATGGTTCCTCTCCTTTTTTGCGGGAGTTTAAATTGGGGAAAAAGAAATACCGTCGGTTGCGAATGTGGAAGATTTCTGTTATATTGGAGTTTTGGGAAGACGAGTGAATTGCTAAGAAGCGGAAGTCAGAATTTTAGGATTTTGTTGGGTTGTTAGCCATAGTTTATTGAGGAAGTAACTTCGCAAGTTACCAGCTATACTGTGGGAACTGCTCTCAGATCAGCATTTGGCATTATTAATATCTGCGGTAACTTCGTGGAGCCACTTCTAGGGTGTCGAAGTACTCCTAGGAGCATCAGGAAATTGGTTTCCAACCAGGTTGAGAAGTTTGACTGGTAGGAATGTAACTTTCTTTTTGGGGAGCCTAGTGAGCATCTGCCTTAGTCGATAAAATGTAGTTTTTAGGACCTCTTTTGTTCTAGTGTTGGAGCTTTGTATTGTGCGTTGAACATACATTTTGCTAAGACAGCGGATTCTGCTCTCTGTTGTGAAGATGTTAGCAAGTTGGTGAATTAATGTCGTTGAATAATTTGCACATTTTCATTCCATTATTCATTCCATTATGACATTAATTTGACGGTGATTAAGGGTTGCATAGAACTCGTTCTGTACTCCATTATTGACCTTATGTAAGTCTTTATGTGTGCAGAAGATTTTGCAATGAGAGCTACCGAATTTACAAGATAGAGCTCCAAGAGGGTTATCTCCCCTTCTTACTCACGCTAGGGTGTATTTTATGTCAATATCCCAGTTGTGATTCTTCTGAAATTGAATGCCTCCTGGAAGGACACTGGAATGGACACTGAATTTCTGAAAGGGGCCCTTTCTCAGAGGGATAGAACACTATCTACATTGCCTGAGAAAAGCAGTGCAGTATTGTCGTCCTATAACAGAGTGAATTTGGTATTATTTAGGTTAGGAAGGTTCCTGATGTAAACTCTATAAGGAGCTAAAATTGAGCCCTAGGGTACGAAAGCATTCTGAACTAGGTAATATTATTTTTTCCATCAGATGATGAATAGATAATAATGAATCAGGTAATATTATCCCAAAAACGGATTTAGAAAGCAGTTTGACGAATTTGGACGAATTACGACGTAATCTAAAAATAATAGAAATAAAAATCATCCAACTTGGAAAGAAGAAAATTTGGTAACATCAGATGATGATATATGATTTCCCTGTTCTTTTTTTCATTTTTTTTAACAAATGAGATGATCAAAAACATAACTTATCAAACTATATTATATTCAGTGGAAAAAAGACCTCAAAAACCTTTGAAACTTACTGAACATGAGCTAGAACAGTTCTTAGGAATCTGTATTTATATATCAATAGTTCAATTGCCAAACGCTAGAAGTTATTGGAACTCCAGCCTAAATCATCGATTGATCTCAGATGTTATGTCATGCAATAAATTGGAAGAAAAACATTTTTACATTTTGCGAACAATAACGATGCTATTGCTGCCGGTAATTCTACTCATGATAAACTTTTTAAAATCCGACCGCTACTAAATAAACTAAGGAATCAGTAACTAAAAGTTCCGAAAGAGGAATTTTTAGCCATAGATGAGCATATAATTCCAACAAAGGCGCGTTCATCTATAAAATAATATAATCCGCAAAAGCCGCACAAATGGGGATATAAGACGTTTGTTCTTAGTGGTGTCAGCGAATTTTCCTACAATTATGAAATTTTATAGGAAGCCAAACTAGTGTTGTACCAGACGGTTTTCCTGATTTAGGGGTAAGTTCAAATGTGGTTCTTCGACTAACACAAACAGTACCAATACTTATAAATCATAAAATAATCTTTGATAATTGGTTCAACAGCAAATGTATCTTACGAAACAGGGTATATTACCACTAGGAATAGTTAGAATAAACTAAGTGCTAAACAGTAATATGCCAAATGAGGCTGAATCAAAAAAGAACCACCGAGGAGCTATGGTAGAGACAGTCGCCACAATTGATGATACAAAAATAGCTATTGTAGCATGGTATCACAACAAATTAGTAAACATTTTATCGACATATTCTGGGAATATGCCAACAGTTGAAGTTAAAGTTTTCGTAAAAGCATAAGACACATATATTGTCTATAGCTGTATATAGCTGTAATGATCTACAACAAATACGTGTCAATATGTGAATTCTTTGAAGAAGAAGTGAGAATGAGCATAATAATTTAGC